GTTTATTTTCTTGGAAGTGTAGCTATTGCCTACCTTGTTTAATAAAGTTTTTATTGTATTTTTATTATATATTTAAAGTTAAGCTATCACCTCTTCTTTTTTTTTAAGTATTTATTTTTAGTATATTGAGTTGAGCCATCATCTCTTTTTTCTTTTCTTGAGTATTTTATTATATTTTAGAATTAGAACCATCACCTCTTTCTTTTATTGTTGGTTTATTGTTTTACTTTAAAGTCTCTTTTAGTTTTTTTTTTAGTTTTATTCTTTTCTTGTTTGCAAACACATTTTTTAACCCTTATATATTAAATCAAGTACAGTCATCCTTCTATAAAATCACACAGTTGGGCATATAGTAAATTTTTTTCAAAATGTACTTATATAGAAGTTGTGCTTATATGAAGATCTTTTTCTTATAAATTAAATCATAATTTGGCTTAAATATAAATGTGATTATATATGATATAATTATATAGGAGGTGACTATATGGAGGAATGACTGTAGTATAGCTTTACTAAGACCCTATATTGCTATATTACACTATATATTTGAATAAAAACTTCAGTCTAAAGAGGCTAGTTAAATATAAAAAAAAATAAATAAATAATATTTATGTTTTTTGAGATGTTCTTTAGTATAGGTGGGTATATATAATTATTATACAATTATAATATATATAACCTAACTATTTTGAACTAATTTAAATAATTTTATAAATTATTAGAGTCAGAGTTAAGGTTAGAATTAAATTAGCTCAAATAGCATAGAGATTTTCTCACTTTTCAGAAAAACACGGGCTTTGTCATATGATAATTAACTAATCAGAAACCGATTTATTAACACATAATCAAAACAGATGAATAATTGTTAAACTAAGGCAGCCAATTAACAGGCATTACTTATATATTACGATTTTGTTCATAGTTTAACTTTGAAGTAAAATAATTCGCGTTGTAAAAAAATCAAACTATTCATCCACATTATAACAGAAATTTTATAATTAGAAAAACTCATTTAAAAGATTTTTAATACAAGTTACACATCTTTCAATAGTTTTTCTTAAAATTTTGCATAATTAATGAAATTATACTATCGTATATATTAAATTATTCTACTATGCTAAATATCTTTTAAGAAGCATGTATAACTTTAAAAGAAAGTCTGTATAAGTTTATAAATAAAAATTAACAAGTTAATAATTGAAATAATAAAGAAAAAAAAATTGAAAAAACAATATTAAACTTTGCAAATTAAGCAGTACAATCTACTTTTCTTACCTTTTACTATATGGTAAATAGTACTTCAACTATTAAGAGATCTACCTTGTATAGCATAATGCAACATGATGCAACTTGGTTTCTTGACAAGACGTTCATTATAAAGATATTTTATTAGTAAAGTATTAGATGTTTGGTTTTTTTTTTTTTAGTTCACTTATACCTGAAAATTCTGGTTTTACACTACTATCCTATATAAATACTTATATAATATCGATCTCAGAAATTATCAGATTCGAATGTCCTCCATGTTAGCTCAAATTAGTTAGGTTTTATATATTATAATTTTGTAATAATTTATATATGCCCACCTATACTAAAGAAGATCCAATTTTTAAATTATATATTTTTTTAACTTTATTAATATACTAAACTATTTTTCTCAAAATAATCATCAACTCTTCTCGACAATTACTTGTACCAATCTAATACCAAAAGCAAGTTGATGATTCAAGCCTAGAAGTCGACAACAACTTGAAGTTTTCTTGATACGAACTGTTATCAACAAAGTTTTTAAACATAATACACCAAGGAGCAGGCATTTTGAATGGTTTGCAAAGAAGTCAGACCTTGTTTTACTGATATTTTGGGTGGACTCCTCTTTGTATTTGGCATTCAAACCAGAGGATTCTCTAGAAACAGCAAGTAGAAAAGAAAACTAAAGTTTGTTTGAAGATGAAAAACTTTGAAGAACTTTTAGAACAACACTCTTTGGTTAGAAAATTCGCAACAACTTGATATTTCCTTGTTATTTTTTGGTTTCAAAATTTTTAACAAAAAGTGGAGAATTCAGTTTATCTCTTCAAAAGATTAACATTGTTTTCACTTCTATATCAGAAAATTAGATGATGACAAATCAGCACGTATTACAAAATAAATAAAATGATAACAACAAATCATGTGAAGTTTTTAAAGTCTTTATACTTTCGGATGAAGATATGGATTTAATTAAGAAAAGTCAAGCAAAGTGTTTTAAGATATATAATATGTCTCTTGTATATAATTTTTAGCCTCTAGCATGAGTTATAGTACATCTTGTTTTAGTTATATATTTTTGTTTTTGTCAAGACTCTCACATTTAATAGTAGATCGTTACTCTATATAATTAGAAGTTTTCACCTGATTAGCAGGTTTTCTTCTTTTTAGTGATAGTTTCTTTTAGATTTTTAGTTTAGTTTTTTATAATCCTTAGTATTAGTATCCATTTTTTTTAATATATTAGTTTTTATTATATACACCTTTTTTCATTTCCTATTATTCCTTTTTTTTCTTATTTTTCTTTCTTATGAGAAAGTGTTATCAGTTTGGCAGCATTCTATTGTAGAGCAGGAATCTTAACAGAGTGGCACAACAGCCAGCTAAGAAATCTAGAGAAAATAAGTCTGGAGTAAATTCTGAATCTTTGGAAAAGGCTAATTGTTTGCTAAGCAGGTTGCATCTGAGCAAAACATAGCGGTTTAATGGTTCACCTTGACTGCAAGTGGGTGTTTTAACACCTGCAAAATATGCTGTGAGAGAGTTTACATTTTGGTCAGAATACTATAGATTTAGATTTCTTCATATGCCAATGTAAGAATTAAAATTTGTTCTCATAATAAAGTAAATAAAATTGCCAAAGGAAAAAAAAACTATTTTTCTTTTATAATATTTTTGTCTTTTGTCTTAAAAAATTTTAATTAAAACAATTAAATTTAAACTATTTCTAAGAACTTTTTTAGAATTTATAAAAAATCTTTTTTGATAATCCTTATTTGGATAAAATATAGTATAGGTAACACCTACTTTAAATCAATTGATTATTTATTAAAGTATTATCTATACTATATTTTATTCTTAATGTTTTTTAAAAATATATTAAGGCCACACAAATTTAATATATTGGTTTTCATAACATAAAACTTTTAAACAGACCCGGCCGGCTGGCTTTTTTTTTAAATTTTATATATAAAAATTTATAAAATTTTTTTAAAAATTTTTTAAAATACCCACCTAGTTATTAAAACATACAAAAATTTTTTTTTACAAATTTTCAAATTTTGACTTGGCCTGGTTATGAAAACCAATTAATTAAGTTTGCATGGCCTAATCTTGATTTTTTTTCTAAAAAAACTTAATACTTTTTTGTTTGCTATTTATTATTTAATGTCTTCTTTCTATATATATTGTTTTCTATTTCTTTTTTTTTTGCTTTTTAATTTCATTAGCTTTTCTTGCATATAAATCTTTTTACTAGTCTTTAATTTATATAGTTTTAGCCAATAAAAATGTTAAATAATATAAAATTAAAAAGCAAAATAAAACCAAAAAAAATTCATTAAATAAAAAAAAATAAAGTATAGCATAAAAAAATTAATAGAATTTTTGAAACATATATTTTAATGCAAAAATTAAACTTAGCAAAACTAGTAAAACTCAATAAAAATGAACCTTTGCCTAAAGATCGGTTCCAAAATTCTTTGAATTGTATCCTCCTCTTTATACAGTACCTCTGGGTACAAATCAAGTTAATTGAGACATCGGGTACTTGATGCGGTGTCTATGATATGTGCGATGAAAAGAGTTGGATCGAGAAATATTATTTGCTCAAGGTTATTGTTGAAGGAGAAAAGAGTGTCGAAAGTGACCTTTTCGTCAATTCTTTATATATTATTTATGATCGATAGCTTTTCTATTTACATAATTCTGGTTTTATGCGACTTAACGTTGATTTGATTTATCTTCTGACCTTGATCCCTTTCTTTTTGATCCGTTGACCCTTGTCAACACGAATTATAGTAGAAAATTCATATGATTGGCTAATTTAGTCAGATTAAACTTTTCACTCCATAGGATCCTTCTTTACCAGTTGTTATACTGTTCAATGATATTCGTTCACTTATTTATGTCTTAAGCTGAAACTCTTTCATATAACGATAATCGTCAACCTTTTTGGATTGTTATATCCGGATCACACGTCTGGCACCATACTTCATTCATATGTAATGTACTTACGTACGTACTATACTCATTACAATTCAGCATTTTTGTAATCTTTACATACGACGCTTAGATTTAAATGTAAATAATTTTATCCAATTAATCTATGCGAATTTTTAAATAATTGGGAGTTAGATTATTAAATGTTCTTTATACTTACGTGCTAAATTAACGCGAATAAATGAGAATTAAACATTAAATATTCATAAACTCGAATAGCTTTATCTTCACATGCTTTATAATAAACTAAAAAAAAAAAAAAAAATACGTATAAAAAAATTTCTTGATCTACACGACACATACGGGTATTACTACGTACTGTATTAACAGTTAATGATTTGCACATATATACGATTTTGTGTTAACAAAATTTAGCCCCGTTTAATATTAGGGTAAGGTTAGAGCCCAGAAAAAGGCATAGCTCATACGTACTAAATTTGCAAGAAATCTTTTTTGTTAAACCCCAAAAATAACTTTATTAATAAAATTTTGAAAATAACAATATCTGGGTACATACATGTAATGTACAAATACAGAGTAAGACATGAAAAATTTGCGAAATTAGAACCTAATCCTGAATAGAAATTATCTTATTTAAAACTGGTAATGTTTAGAATATAAATTATGTTTTTATAATCCGAGTCACCCAGGTAGCAATGGTCATGACCCGGTTGATAAATCTTATACGGGTTACCCGGTTGATAAATCTTATGCAGGTTACCCGGGTGATTCTTATACGGGTATAATCTCTACTCTGGTGGAGGATCAGAAGTGTCAGGAATAGACGTAGATGGGGTGGATGTATTATTTGAATTGTTTGACTCTGATGGCTGTACATCGGAATCCACAGGTTTATCATCAAGTTCTGCTTCATGTACTAAGGAACTTTCCTTTACAGGTGAAGAATTATGAGTAGTTGCGGCAATAGCATTTGCATGAGGAATATTATCAGGAGATGGGTGCTGAACACCAACAGGTCCCTGAGTTCTTCCAGCTTTTGTAAGCGCATAATCACCAGAGTCAAAATATTTCCGTTCCTATTGTAATATTAAAAAATTTTATTACTGAATTCGACAACACCTTGATCATATAATCAAGATAACTTTCATCAAAAGATTAAATGAGCCGCCTTAAAATTTCTAAATCAATTCCGATATTTCAATTTATGAAGATATCGGGACAACTTTTTGATACCAATAAAAAATTTACAGCTAGTTGAAGTAGCAAATACCTTTGATTTATGGCTCAAAATATCTTTCCCCGTTGGCAACCTGCCATACATACGGAAAATTTTTTTCTCCTCCTCTGTTAGTTTCTGCAAAATAAAGAAATCACATTAAAATTTTAGTTCAGCATTTTCACACGATCCTTTTAATTGCTCGTATGTCCATATGTTCTAATTGTTGTTTATAACTTGACTTACGTCTAGGTCAATCTTGTTCTTTCTGGCTGGATTCATGTTCTTTCAATTATGAATAATTTCGAGGTATTAACGGAAACTAGATTTTTTTTTTGTTTTTTTTTTTATGTCTGCCTCTTTGAAGACTGAACTATAAAAACGACTGTAACACTACATGTCATATTTCGAGTTCGATGTCACATGGCACATAGTACAGTGGGAATATACCAGATTAGTCATAGAAGACATTCAATGTTTGGTAAGTACTCCATAACTGACAGATTTTCTCTGATCTGCGTCTTTTGACCAATCATGTTACAAGATCGGGTGTAACGTGAAAAATGTCCTGCGCACTCAAAACCTACGCACTATTTTGTTACACCTGTGCCTACCTTTTTTAGGTATTGCGAAGATCAGTATGGTATGACTACAGATCATTATGGTATAGATGTGATTTTACCGGATTTTAGTGGGTGTGACAATTAAGCAAAACTGTATGGTACGATATGGTACGTACGATTTGATAAAATCCAATCCATACCATGCTGACCCGGTCAGTTGATCTTTTGATACGTCTAAACATACCCTAAAACCAACAAATAAGATTGCACGTTATTATAGTAAAAGACAATAGAAAGTATAGAAGTTTTAGAGTATGCTTAGATGTGCCAAAAAAGTAGGTGCAAAGGTATCAAAAATGAACGCAAATTTTAAATGTGATCTGATTGGACAAATCACACAAAAATTGTCGATGCTATTGGAGTAAACTATGATTGGTTAATTTATGTAGATCAAAACGTGATCATAAACCAATCAAAAAAAATTCTAACACGCAAGAAAGAATCAATACATTTTACTGTAAATTCTGGATTATGACAGGTTAAGAAATAGTTCAATATTCTTTTACTGTGATCAATTTTATACGTATAAAAACATTGCCATTAAAAAAAATCTTTCAATTTCATTTTGGTTCTTACAGCTTTTGATGATCCTTCATGGTATTTATACCAAACTTTTGGTTTAATCAGGCTAACGTCTAAAAAAAAATTATTTTAACAGATTATTTTGTGCTTTCATAAATAATATCATGAATACATTCTTTACCAGTTGTCCTAGACTTTGTAAATGACTCCATGCTATCCTTTGGCCTTCCGAAAAAATCTAGTATTTGCTAATCAATTCAAATGCAGTATGAGAAACTAATGAGATGAGCATACGGGTATCAATATATTACAATACAATTGTAAATATTACCTTCTCGACTTTTTGTTGATTCTTTGAAGATTTTGGTTCTGACTGAGCGGTGTGATTGGTTGAGGATCTGAAATAAACAATTATATAATGACATGTTTGCTAAGAGAAAATTATAGACATTTTATTGTGTGTTATGATGAAACGTACGATTTTTTGTTCTGAATACTTCTTGAGCGCACTTCCACGGCATTTTCAAGTTTTATATCAATCTATCGAGAAAAAAAGATAAGCAAATGTAACTTTCAGTAAAAAAAACATGAGTAAACTTAAGCACGCACTTCTTTAGCTATCAAATGTTTGGTGATATCATTGTTAAACGCATAATTCTTTGAGTCCGCGCCCGAAAATAACACAAGCTGATCTATTGGCCTAAATAAGAAAAATATTAAATATACAAACATGAACAATAGCATTCCAATTAAGATAAAAATAGCACATCTTACGGTTCAATAGCATAAAATGATTTCCCATCTTCAGTTTTTTGAATATATTTTAAATTGAACGAAAGCATTATGTCAACCACTCGTAAAAGTATAGATTTTTTGAGATTCGAGGATAACCTGCTTTCCTGTTCAAAAGAATAAGATCATACGTTTTACATTTATATGTCGATTTCAATAAATAATCACAAATTCTTTACCGATTCTAATTCAGGGGACACAATTTTCAATAGATACGAAACAAATTCAGTTACAAATATGTTCTTATTTAAGGTCAATCGATATTTTGATTTTATTCCTTTCAGTACGGAACTTATTACACTTTCGTTAGCTTGTTGTTGTACATAACACTAAAAGCAAAGAAACATCCTTAATGCATCAGCGAAGAAACTCTGCGAAAAGTATAATAAATCAAACCTCATAATCTTTTCTTGGATATTCCATACGTGGGTGAGCAACACCTGAGAAAAATCGATGAAAACTAATAATCGGATATGGATAATAGACAAATAACCCAAATAATTGCAGTGAGTTTGTTCGATAATTTATTTGATCATAAAAATGGACCCATTCATTTATTTGAGAAAGCTTAAATTTTTGATCGTGAAAATTACATTTTAGGTAATTTTCAAAACACCCTGCGAAATTATAATTTGGTTAATTCACGAAATTTATCTCATAAGAACACTAATATGCAAAAATAACACCTTGCATCAATTTCTCATATTCGCCATTAGTACTAATTAGAGATTCCAAACGAGCAATATAACGATTTGCATTGTTCTCTAATGGACCAAAAATAGAAAAGCCAAATGTTTTAGGTTATTTAAACATCTGTAGTTATAAAAAAAAAAAACCTAGTAAATTACCAGAATCTCGAACAAATTGATCACGTGATCTGACTTTCGAGCTTCTTGTTTGAAATATTTCCTCCCATATCGTAAAGAACGATTTATTTGTGTCTTTTCGACCAATGCTTGTTTTCGATATTAATTCTTTTGTAACCACATTGGAACTTTGTTTGATGAACTAACACGATAAGAATATGAATATTTAAGTGATGATAGAAATTAAGCATTACTTTTTGACAAATAAGAACAAACCTGTAAGGTGGTTAAACAGTTTCTCATATCACCTTCTGCTGACTCCGCTAGCACAAATAAGGTTGATATATCAGCCGATAATTTCTCACGGTCACAAATCTCTTTTAATCTGTTTGCAAGCCTGTTTGACTGCATTCTTTTAAAATTTACTACTTTTGCATGAGCTTTAAGAGGACGCAATGCTGCAGTATATCTAAATATTTTTGAGGCCAAGATATAAAATGGTTCGTTTTGTATACAAAATTCCAATGATAATGGACTTACTGATCGTTGCAGATACATATAATAGGGCGAAGCAATGGTCTCTTGACGGATTTTTTTTTCTTGCCTGAAAGGCCGTGGTTATTTAAATAATAAATAACGACAATATCACAGAAAAAATATCTTACTTGTTTTAGTTCCTTTGGATGTCAGTTGGTTCACATCTCGCGATGATTGTTTTTCTCCATCGACCAAATCCAAAAGTAATTTAACAAAATTCTATATATAATTGTTATGAGAAGGCAAGATTAATGAAATGTGAATTGAACATTAGAATGGTAATGTAGTTAAATAGTTTATAAACCTCATCACCACTACCAGAAACCCCATCAATCTCATCAATTATTATCAAGTTTGGTTTTTTGTTGAAAACAACTGATTGAGTTTCCAAGGCATCCTTAATTCTGTTTTTGATAACCTGACCGGTTCGATCATCACTTTAAAAAACGACACAATTTTAATTAATGAGTTGAACTAGATACAATTTTAAGTTTATCATTTACCTCGCATTGATCTCTACAATATTATATCCACAATGCGTTGCTACTACGTGGGCTAAGGTTGTCTTTCCACATCCAGGAGGCCCAGTTAGCAGTAAAATCTGTTTAAAAATATACGATTAAAACCTATTAATTTTGTTTGTGAATTCATCCATGAATTACCTTTTTTTCCGGTCGATCCCATCGATCATTAGACTAAAAAGAAATAAAATTAACAAACCATTGAAACATATTTACACAAATATATGACATGAATTCATTACCTGATTTTGTATATTGTCTTTATGGGCAGTTCCTTTGCCAAAGACACAATAATTCCATTGCACTAACCATTTTAATACATCTCGATTGACGCTCTAGGAACATAACAAATTGAATAAGTTGATGCGAAATATTCATATATATATTAAAAGATTATTATAATAGTACCTCATCACCAACAAGGTCTTTGTAGGATTTTGGGCGATACTTATCTACCCATAACTTCGTTTCAGGGACGACGATTTTCTGCATTGCACGGAATAACGCTGTATTATAGTTATCGCAGAATCGTCATTTTAGGTAGCGTTCCCACAAAAAATTGTTCATCCCCAGTAATTTTGACCAATCAAAATTTAAGATCAGGTGTCA